GTGTGTGTGTGTGTGTGTGTGTGTGTGTAGTATATGTGTGTAAACATCACGGTGGCTGACAGGTGCAAACGACAGTGAAGGAAAATGTCTTCGTTTCTATTGTCATGAATGCATTTCACATTATACATGTTTTTGCTTGATGTGGTTATAGTGTTTTTATAACCAGTGTGCTATAAGTTTATTTTTATACTGTGGTAAAGTTGTTCTGAGAAGGTTTATGTAGTTACACGTCTTACAAAAACACAAAATAACCTCAAGTAGGAAAACAAAACATATGTACAGCAGGCCGCTAGAGGGCCTCGATCACCAAGTTCAATGGGTCCCAGACCACCTGTAGCGACATCAAGTGGGACTTCCTAGTAAAAATGAGACACACACACTCAGCTCAGTTCTCTGAAGTCCTCGATTCTTTTCTTTTTGACTCATTCTGTTGTAGACCAGCTGGATCATACTTGGGGGTTTGCTTTAGATGCAGGTGTTTGTATATGAAAAAGGCTGCTTACTTGGAGTTCTTTCGCCTTTTTTTAATCAGCTAATAATCAGTGTTTTGCATCCAGATAAATAACCATTAGTAGAAAAAAAGAAACAATAACCTCATACATTACATTTAGTCAGTTACAAAACATAATTTTTCTCACTCTAAACAACTAAAATCAAATCATTTGCATGAACCAGAGGAATAAAATACAAAAATCTAGGCATAATAATAGAAATTTGGTTCATCAAAGTGACTTCTATGACATTTACAATAAATCATTGGATCAGTGTTTTTCCCTCATCCCTTATTTCTCTTCACGTCGCTGCAGCTTGTACAGAATAATTCAGTGGAAAAGTTCTATAAAAGAAATAGTCAAAAAATATTTTTTCATGTCAACAAATGAAGCTTTCCCCTTTTTGGCTCTGTGCCAATAAATACAAAGGTTTTAGTAAGAATTCAGTGAAGTATCTTCAGGCAAACAGCAGGAAGACTCAGTTATTCTACAGCTAGTATCAAATACAGGAAGTATAAAAAGGCACATTATCAAACCATCAAGTCCAGTTTTAACAAAGGAAAACCACAGCAGGCCAAGTCCTGAAGACACTATTGCTGAGCAGAACCGGGACCATCTGAACCTCTGTTGGTGCCTGGAGGAGGAAGACTAATGCTATTTTTCTTCTGTTTTAGTTAATTTAGACCAGGGACTCCAGGCTCTCGGTGGCGGCGGTGCCCACCACAACGGTTCTGCTGTCGTCCAAGGACCCGGCAGTTTTCTCCTGTTCTCGTGTCCCGATGAGGTTCAGCATGGCTTCAAACAGGAACTGGACTTGCTCCTGAAAAACAGGTCTGGTTCAGTCTTCTGGGTCAGAAACATTACGGATGCTGTCTCACTGAGCTGGAGAGTTGGAGACTCTTTCTGACAGAAGGAGTCCATCCATATGTTCCTCCTGTGAGCTCAGAGGCTTCCAGGCTTGTTGCTTCAGATACAGTTTCTTATCAAACAGTCTGATTTATTGTGGTCAACTGGAACCAAATATTTCTCTAAGTTTCTCACAGTTCTGAGTCTCCAACAGTCCTAATCCAGTGAGAAATGAGCCTGAAACTTCATGAGATTAGACCAGATTAGGCCTGCAGACTGACTGAAGAATCAGATTACATTTGATTTGTTTATAATTTACAAAATGAAGCTAACACCATGATGACTCTGTCAACAAAACAATACAGATACATTTTGTCAGGACTTCTGGAGTATTAAGTCAGCTGTACGATTAACCAGATTATAGCAGAGTTGGTGTTTTATTGAGGTAAATTTACTCTGTTTAAAGATGATACATTAAGGATTTAGTATTTTCAGAGGGAGGTACTCATTATTAAACTTGCTCTAAACTATTAAACCACCCAGCTGTTTGTACATTTCTGTTTTATTCCCATCGTGAGCTGAGAAAATGTCTGACAGACAGAATAAATTCACAGTTTCACCATCATGACACAGATCCTGCAACCCTTCCTTGAAGTCTTTTTGTCCTGTCGTGACCTTTGACCTGCCGACTGAGACGTGTAGAGTATTGGCAATGCATTGCTGAATCGATTATTTTACCCACCCCCAGTTAGCAGCATCAGTGCTAACATGGGCTAGTGTTCAAAGCTGTAACAAACTTTCATGAGAGAACTGTACCATTTTAACCAATGGGAAAATTCAACTGCAGTGCCACTGTTCAACCCATAGAGGGCAGCACAAAGAGTTTTAGATACAACATTGCAGATTAAAAAAATACAGAAGTATGGTCCGCATTTGCACAGAAATATAGAAATATAACCTCTAAGACACAATTTAGACAGTTTATCTGCAAAATAAAATAGATTTTGAACATAGACATAAACATTACAATGAAGCTGTTGGGAGAAACACCTTCCTTACAGTTTTACTGAAGACTCCTGGTCTCATGAGATTCAGCAGCCGGGTCACCTGGAACACGTCGATGGAGCCCTCAGCATCCAGCTGCTGCACCAGAGATGACAGAGCGCAGAAAGTTCCTGCTGTAGCTCCGCCCACACTGTCAGAACCAAGAAGACAACAGCTGAGCAACAAGAATCCGAGTAAAGCGAGTCACTGTGACAACTCTGGTTAGCAGAGACATTCTTACTCATCGTGGACCACAGCTGGACCATCTTTGTGGGAGTTTTCTTCCATCACCAGGTTGATGAGCTCGAAGGTCTGGCTGATTGGACTGTCTGGGTTGGGCCAGCACAGAGTGCTGTAATGCGTCACTTCCAGAACATAATCATCCTGCGCAGAGCAGGAAACTTATCATGAATCACTGCTGCAGCCACGTGCAGAGGACCTGAGGGCTCATGGGGGGTGAAGTCTTCTCAGCAGTGCAGATGATGGGATTACCTGTGCAGACTCCAGTGTGTATGTGTGGACCACCAGCTCATCCTCATTAGACAGACAAATGTGACTCTGGCTCCTCTGAGTGACGGTGAACTGATCGAAGCTGATTGGTTGTCCTTTGTGAGGCCAGAAGACACATGGCTCCAGCCCCTCCTCCACCTGTCAGACACAGTCAGGTGACAATAAACCTCCCACCTCAGAGCTCCTGAAGCATGAATTGCTATATGCCACGGTCATTAATGATGTATTTCTGGTCAAATTCGTGCCACGCACATCCCTTCCACTTCCTGATTACTGCCTATGTTTTTAGCGTTAGCTGCTAGTACTAGTCTGTGAAAAGTCCCAAAAGTTAGAGCATCTGTGAGCTACTGGTATAAAACGTGAGTTCTGTTGTGTGTCGTTGTGTCCACTAAGCAGCAGGTACAGTAGAGTAGTATATTACAGCGTAAACAAAACATGAGCGACGAGCCTCCCCGAGTACAGAGAGCAGCAGAACCTCTATCATTATGTTTTCAGTTCACTAATGTCGGGGAAAACGATCCAAACCAGACAAGTAGCCCATCGATTTAAAGCCCAGACTCTGGTCTTTCCAACAATATAAGTGTCGCAGCTCTACATGAAAAATTCACAGAACAAGCAGCCACAGAAAAGTGACAAAGGCTAAATTCTGGAACCATAAACACGAACGTCTTTCCTTTGTTTTTATGGCTTTAATCCACTTTGGAGTGATTTTTTTCCACTTGGCTGGACCTGTACATCTACTGTGTTAATGTTGGTACATGTAATATGCTAATTATGTACTGTGGAGATCATTAAGAGTCGTTGTCGGGTGAAAAAATCTTTCCCTAACACTGTGCTGACCACGAACCGGAAGTGATTGGAGTGGCACCAAGTGCTGGTTTATGGCATATAGGCAGGGACGTGCACAGATAGACGTCAGGTGGAGCTCGAGCACCTGCCCTTTTCCCTCCAGACCATCAAGTGCCCCTGTCGAACCCGCTTTTTAAAATTTATTTATTTATTTATTTATTGTTATGCTCCATCTGTCGCCCTTGGTTGCACTTCTTATTAAGTGTATACAACTATAATGGCAACAGTGTTAATATTATTAACAATAATATTGCCCTCACACCCTCCCTTCACCACACACACGTGCGCCCGCAGCTCCTCGGACAGGAGGAGAGCTGCTGAAGCAGCTCCTCTCTCCTCTCTCATCCACACAACAGAGGACAGTTATAACCAGCAGGTAATTTACCTACAGCCACAGGCAAACTGTGTGGGACTGTCTCACATGTTTCTCTCTTGTCCCGGTGTCGCACAAGTTGAAACAAAGTCCCGCATTTGACTGATCAAATTATAACAAGACATACAAAGAAGAAAAGAAAAGAAAGGGAAACAATCGACAGACGTTTTTTATTGGCTGCAGTTTACAACCATTAGAAAATGCCTCCTTATTTCTCTCTCTGCCTTCAATGAAGAAGGAGAAGGAGAGAGGAAAAAAAGACATAATAAGGCAAAGATGCAGCAGCTGCCAATCAAACGTGCAGCAGCGTGTTCTGCGTGTTAAAAATAAATATCTAAACACGTGAAAGAAAATGGATTTTATTTATGCAGAATGTGATGGAAACTATGTCAAAAATGCAGCAACATAATAACTGGAAAATACTTGAGGAAAGTGAAAGATGGTTCTCAGAGAGAAAATTGCCAAACTTTTTTTTCCTGAAGAAAAACACACCGTGAAGCAGCTGTCTGTGAGAGATTCACACAAGAAACTTAGAGTTCAGAAAGCTGCCTGTCAGTCTGTGGACAGACAGAAAACGGCACAGATCATCTGACCTGCTCATGGTTTTATTTTATCATGATAAAAAAATAAACTTAAAATATTTTTAACCAAAGCATTTTTTTGATAAATTTTAATTAAAAATATGTACTTATTTTTCTTAAAAACCTTTAAAATGCATTGTTGTGTAATAACAGCCAAAGCAGAGAGGAATGAATGTGTTCATATTAAAATAACACAATGTGATGGCCCACAGGATCTGGTCACACTTTTTACCCCCTAAACCTCAGATGTTAAAGTCAAACTTTACTTCCTGTTGTCTGTAAAAACTAATGAGGCAAATATTAATAAAATTAAGTTTGAAATTTTCAGTATTCTTTGATTTTAGTGTGGAAAGAGAATTAGCTTTAGTTTTATTTTCCTTATTTTCTTTTCATTTTAAAGTCAAACATTGAATAATGAACGCTAACAATGAGTCCTTTTTAAATGTAATCTCTTCTTTGTCAGGTTTTGTGTGCTCTAAATGGAACATAAACCATAATTTGAAAAATAAAATTAGTATAATAAGAATAATTTGCTTTTGTTTCAATAAATATTAACAGAAATTGGCTCTTGATCTGGACTAAGTGTGGAAATTTCTCCCCCTTGTGAATTCGACCCCCCTGTGTTAGAGTGTTACATTTTGACAGTAATTTAGAGTCTGATTAGATTAAATGTTGTAATTTATTGCACTGACCTTTGTCACCAAGCTGTTTCACCCAAATAAACATATTTCATATTGTTGGTGTTTTAGCTTCAGCAGAGAAGCAGCTCCATGTTTTCCTGCCTTCCTCCGTCAGACACAGATGAAGCTGATTATAGTTATTTTATAAACACTACAAAAATTGTCATTACTAGTTTTTGTTCTGTTGTTGCCAGTTTGTTACAGAAACCAACCTGTAGAGTGTTGAATATTAAACATCTGTATCAGACAGAAAAAATCTGATTTAAAATAGATAAATATGCACAATGTACAATGTGTCTGTAAGGTCACATTATTAGGACAGCTGCTGATTCCGTGCACCGGACAAGGTGCCCTCTTTTTACATTTGAGCACCTGCCCCCGAAAATGTCTGTGCATGCTACTGCATATAGGCTATTATCTGAACTTAGAAATGAAGAAAGAGGAAGTGGTTTGTCAGCAGGAAGAGTTTTCAAAATAAAACATCATCTGAGTGATCCAGGTTTGGTGCTGACCTCGTTCACCAGCTGCAGATAGAAAACCACAGATCCAGGCTAACCCATTAGTGAGTCTTGAAACAAAAACTCAATATTTGGTTTGGTCACGTTTGAACCTGAAACGTGACAAAATGTTAAAAGTGAAACATAAAATACTTCCCAAGGATACGATCCATACATCTGCTTTTATAAAAACTCAAAAAGTGCGTATTATTGTACTACTTTAAGGTAGAGATACCATGTTTTTAAATCCTTTCTTTTCACTTTTAAATCATTCAGTTTGGGTCTTTATAAAGTGGAACTACAAATATTTAGTCTGAATTCCTTCTTATTCCAACTTTACCAGTGTCATGGTTTGTCAGTTTTCACCTTGGTTTTCCTAGTGTTTCTATGTTCCCCTGTGTGTCTCAGCCCAGCTGCTCCCCATTAGTCTTGTCACCCTCGTGCTTCTCACCAGGTGTTTTCAGTTCATTCATTAGTTGTCAGTATATTTAAGTCCTGTCCTGTCTGAGTCTTGTGTCGGTTCATTGTGTTATGTTCCCCCTGCTTGTGATCCTCGTGTAACCTGTAAGTTTGAGCTGCCTCTTCAGCAGTTTTTTCTGTTATTTAATAAACTTTTTGTTCTATTTTCGGAGCCTGCCTGCAACTTGGGTTTATTCCTGCTTATCTTGTCGACCAGCCCCTCTTTTACCCCTTTTCTGAGGTGCGTCTTAAAGCAGCTAGTTTGGTTACTGTTCCTTTAAGACGCTTCAAGCCCCACCCCACACCCCAGCTTCCAGACCGGTCCACTCCATTTTTTAGCTTGCAGAAATGTTTTATTTACAATTTAATTAAAAGTTAGCTACAGAAGACTTGTCCATCCAGCCTTACATGTTGGAGCCAGAGTCTGACCCAGAACCAGAGTCTGACCCAGAACCAGAGTCTGACCTAGAACCAGAGTCTGACCCAGAGCCAGAGTCTGACCCAGAACCAGAGTCTGACCCAGAACCAGAGTCTGAGGACCAGAGGAGAATGAAGACAAGGAAACTGTAAGTCTGTAAGTCCAGACCTTGTATGGTAATTCTGTTGCAGATAATTCAATGTAACAGACTCAGAAAACGTAACTGAAACTGGAAACATATATTCATCATAACATCTCCAAATCCACAGATCTAAGAACCTAAAGTTAGACACTATTTTGTCTCAATTTCAATTTTTAATTCACTTTATTCATAGAGGTGTCAAGTAACAAAGTATGAATACTTCATTACTTTACATAGGTAGAAATGTTGATTATTTATACTTTACCACAACTTTATACTCCTCACATTTTAAAACTGCATACAAGTTTTGAATTTCTGTTTCATTATGGCTTTTCATCTTTAAAAAATTAAAACTTACACATGTCTGTGGTACCTCCCAGAGAGTGAATTTAACTGTGGATGGATGGCAAGTATAAACATATTCCATGACATCACAGATGTCAGACGCATGCAGTCTGCATGAAGAGGATGTGGCAGAGAGATATCTGCAACTGAAAAATCTGTAACTTACTCCAGGCAGCGATACGATGACCTGTGCGTTGTGGTCCCATATCATCCTCCAGAAGTCCTTCGTGGTGCTGGGCAAAGGCTTCTGGGTAATTATGAACTCTGGATGTAACCTGTAGCCCTGGAAGAAGAAAACCATACTGAAGCAGCTGTTCATCAACTTTATAAAAGCTCAGGGTTTCAGCAGTGATGAAGATTTGCAAAATTGTTCCATATTTTGCTAAGAGGAGATTCAGGAAGTGAATAAAGTACAGACTTTGGTTTAATGTTTCCTCCTCTCCAAACCACCAGGAGACATGAGAGGATAATAAAGACAAGTCCAACAAGATCTTCTTTTTCTAATGTGTTACTTTTACTCCTCAGCTAATGAAATAAATCAGTGATTATAAAATGTACATTTTAAAGCTGTGGTTCTGGACCTCTCAGTTCTTCAGTTGTTACTTTCTGAAATGAAACTGTCACCAGAGACTGTCTTTTAGTAGGTTTCACCATGAACTGCTGCAGCTTTTCTCCTCCTCCCCCAGCAGTCAGCTCAGAGCTGAACGAGCTGCAAACAGGCTGAAGGTCCTTGTCTTTGTGAGTTTTACATAGAAACAAAATGTGTTTAACAAGTTTCTTTGCTTCCAGGTTCATAAAAGGGAACTGAAGTGATAAAAAAAGTATTCAGCTGGTGTTTTTTGGGTTAAATCTGAGCTGAGTTCTGGTGTTCTTACCGAAATGTAGGAAGCGTTGATGTAGTCAGATGATTCTCCAGCCATCACAGATAGATGAACCCGTGACCTCTCAGCTGGAAAAAACAAATATTTACTCTTCAGCCACACTATGAGCGATTGTTTTTAGTCAGAAGATAAGTCTGTCCTTGACGTCCTTCAGTCTGTGAGCTGATAAAGGTGTTGGACTCACCTGGTATGATGGAGCGGTCTCTGTTCTTGTTCAGGTTCCAGTCCTGCAGACCAGTAAGATCCTCCTTTTTCACTCCACACTCACACAACAGCTGTGGAAAACAGACAAGTTTGAATCAAATTACTGCTCAGCACCAGCTTTCTGCGTTTAATTATTTCCCACTTTCAGATTATGAAGCAGCGTTTTCACAAGAACTGGGAACCTGTCAGCTGAAAAATGCATAAATAGAGTCCAAATGCAGCTGTTATTCCTGCTCCACATATTGACATGTTTTATTGTTTTCCTTCACTAAATTCTGGAGACCTAATAACAGAGGAATGCATATCGTCCACCACTTTCATGCCAGAGTTTTAAAGCAAACTGATGAGAAATGGAGTTTTATTCAGTTCGTTCAAACCTTGTTATGAAGCTCGTACACGTGTCAGTTCAGAGTGTTACAGCTGACTTTCAGCACTTCAAATAGCACAAGGTGAATCAAAGGGCTGTACAATCCTATAAATACCTAAGTCAGAACTTACAAAAACAGCTGGAATGACCAGAAACTGTTGGAATACCCAGAGAAAACTGTGACTCACTGTGAGTCAGAGGTCAGAGAGTAACAGTATGTTTATGAAAGCAAGGCTGAATTTGTCGGCCGCAAATGTCTCTGCAGCGTGCCGAAGGCTGCCCAAAGACCCCTCAAATTACAACGACAAATGTGTCCTTCCTTTTTATCCAATTTGAGGGACGGGTCTGGTGGATCCTTCTCGGTCCACCCAAGATGCATTGAGGGCTGACCGGAGATTTATTTTGCTCGTGACGGTGGACCAAGTGAGAGGAAAGAGTACAGTTTCAAGCGGTTGTGTTGTTAATCCTTTTGTCATTTGTATTGACATATTTTCATTATTATTATTGTCAGAAATCAAATGAGCTGGTCCCTTAGTTCAGTGGTTCCCAAACTTTTTATCTTCTGACCCACAAAATATCCATGGCAAAAACTTGTGACCCCAGTTATTACTGGTCTGAGTACACGAACTTTGTTAATAACCCTAAAACATTGGCTTTTTGACAATCTAAACAGCTTATACACAAATACAAATACTTATTTATACTTATTTTGTGTTTTTGTACTAGTTATAGGGGAAATATTACATCAACAATTATTTTATTAGCCTTTAAATTGATTTCTGGAGATTATCCAAGGTGCTTCATAATTGGGTCCCAAGCCCAACTTTGGGAACCAAAGTGCAGTGGTTCCCTAACTTTTCAGCTTTTGACCCACAAAATAACAGTAGCAGAGACCTGTGGCCCCAGCTAATTTTGGACGATAAACATTTGTATCAGGTCAACAAAACATGGGCATAGTAACAATATTTTTATACTACATTTATCCATTTTAAATACACTAACCTCACTCCTTGGTAACAACTAAGGCAAAAATGTAATTAATTCAGAAAATCTTTCAGGACCCCATCTTGATTTTTTGGGACCCCACTTTGGGTCCCGACCCCAACTTTGGGAAACACTGTCTTAGTTCTTCAAGTATTTCCTTTAAGCTAATTTTGTTATTTTAAAATATTAATACTAATATATTGATATTTTGTTCATTTTGATCTATTTTTGTTTCTGTTTAGCGTCGTCACAGTTGCTAAGGGTGGGAATCAAACTGAAGGCTAGACCGTCCAAATTTTCTGCTCTTTGCTGTCGACCAAGGACCCGGCCCACCTAGATTTGGTCTTTCGAAGGATGCAGCCCCTGACTTTGGACACAGCCTAAGTGACAGGGGGCTGCCTGACATGAAGTGGTACGTAGGCCATACCCCAGATTTGGACCTGCAACAGATGATCGCTCTGAGAGTCTCATTCATACCCCTGCTTCATGAGATATTTTGGTACCAAGCAAGGAGGTTCTATAGAACAGCTGGAGTGCTCAGATACCAGGTGACCGTGTGATCGGCTGGAGAAGCTAACGGCTAACACAAAACGGTCGAGAGTCTGGATTTCCCATTACTGTACATGTTGACAACAGAGCAGAAAAAAAGGACTGACAATGTAGAAATCATTAAAACTATTAGTAATAATATTAACCCAATTATTATTAATATTTTACAGTTTATATAATCTATCTATCTATGCTTTAAATAATACCAGAAAAGCTGTTTGAGTTATGGATTTATTAACAGAAGAGAAGCTGGAAAACGTCTCATTTCACAACACAAGTTAGCAGATTTGATCTTATTTAGCTGATTGTGATCTGAGCAGAACATTATGTAACAGTTTAAAATTAAAATAATCTTATAAAGTCGATGTAATCACTGTTAGTTATTAAACTGGTTAGCAGATATTAGCTTGTGGAGAATATATACAGAGTTTACCACTGTTGAATCATGTTACAATTTAACACAAACTATTAAATATTACTTTGTCCTCTGATTAATATTTAGACCTACACAGTGTAAAATAATATTATAAATGTCTGATTAATATTTAGACCTACACAGTGTAAAATATCATAAATGTGAGTATTTTTAGGTTTCTGTTAGAGGAACCTGACCTGTTAAGAAGATGGTTAGCTAATAGAGACAAGTTTCATCCTATAACCAGTGAACATTTTCTAACTGTTGTTCAAGTTCAAGTTTACTTCATTGTCAAAATCTATGTAGCAGGGTTAGCACAGAAGTTGAAATTGTGTTTCACCAGTCTCCAATGTGCAGTTAAACATATTAACATATTGATAAGACATTGACATTNCACACACACACACACACACACACACACACACACACACACACACACACACACACACACACACAATGTGCAGTAAGAAACTAACATATTGATACATGAGTTTACATTCTAACATGGTCATTCACAACACACACCCATGCACATATACACATTGATACAACACACATACTGTAATACTTTATTGGCTTTATTCTCGTACAACTTTATTCTCATTAGGTTACAACTTTAATGCTGTATTATTAAACATACAAACATGTCGATAACACATTGACATTACCCCCCACACACACACACACACACACATACCCACACAATGTGCAGTAAGAAACTAACATATTGATACATTAGTTTACATTTTCACTCTGACATGGTCACTCACAACACACACCCATGCACTTATACACAATGATACAACACACACACTGCAATACCCTGTGTAATAAAAATACAGTACTGATGGGCACTAAATACACAACCATACACACACACACTCACACATAGCAGCAGAGGTACAATCAGTGGGCATACAGATAATGTGAGGTAATGTATTGTACAAAGTTACATTACAGTATATAACATTGTAAACATAATACAGATAATGTGAGGTAGTTTTGATGTCATTTGCAAGGTGCAATGAATTAAAGTGCAAGTGGTGCTGAGGCAGAAATGTTTATGAAATGTTTTTCATTATCCTTCAAATGTTCATTTGGTTTTCTTCATTGTGTTGATGAGTCTAATGGTTTGTGGAAAGAAGTTGTTTCCCAGTCTGGTTGTACGGCACCGCAAGCTGCGGTAGCACTTCTCTGATGGTAGCAGAGAAAAGTTTTTGAGCTGGGTGAGTGAGGTCTTTCATTATGCACATCGCTCTCTTGGAACAGTGTGAAGTGTAGAGGTCCTGAATGGCTGGTAGAGGTGATCTGGTTATCTTTTCTGCCGTCCTCACTACCCTCTGGAGAGCCTTTTTGTCTGCAGCTTGACAGCTGCTGTGCCAGACAGAGAGGCTGCTGGTCAGGATGCTCTCAATGGCTCCCCTGTAGAAGGTGGTGAGAGCAGATGTGGGGAGGTTTGCTCTTCTCAGCCTCCACAGAAAGTGGAGTCGTGTCTGAGCCTTTTTTACCAGGGAGGTGGTGTTTTTAGTCCATGTGAGGTCATCTGTGATGTGCACTCCAAGGAACTTTGTGCTTTTCACAGACTCCACAGCACTGCCATTGATGATGAGTGGGATGTGAGTTGGTTTTTCTTTCCTGAAGTCCACAGTTATTTCTTTTGTTTTGCTGACGTTGAGTAGCAGGTTGTTTCTGTCACACCAGCTGATGAGTTGATGTACCTCCTCTCTACACTCACCGGCCACTTTATTAGGTACACCTGTCCAACTGCTCGTTAACACTTAATTTCTAATCAGCCAATCACATGGCGGCAACTC